TCTCTGGGCTGGTCATCTGTCTCTGGGGCTGGTCATCTGTCTCCGGGGCTGGTCATCTGTCTCGGGGCTGGTCATCTGTCTCTGGGGCTGGTCATCTGTCTCTGGCTGGCTGGTCATCTGTCTCTGGGGCTGGTCATCTGTCCTCTGGTTGTCTCTGGGGCTGGTCATCTGTCTCTGGGGCTGGTCATCGTTCTCTGGGGCTGGTCATCTGTCTCGGGGCTGGTCATCTGTCTCTGGGGCTGGTCATCTGTTTCTCTGGGGCTGGGGCTGGTCATCTGTCTCTGGGGCTGGGGCTGGTCATCTGTCTCTGGGCTGGGCATCTGTCTCGGGGCTGGGGCTGGTCATCTGTCTCTGGGGCTGGGGCTGGTCATCCCCGTCTCTGGGTCTGGGGCTGGTCATCTGTCTCGGGCTGGGGCTGGTCATCTGTCTCTGGGGCTGGGGCGGTCATCTGTCTCCTGGGCTGGTCATCTGTCTCCGGGGCTGGTCATCTGGTCTCGTGTCTCTGTTTGGGCTGGGGCTGGTCATCTGTCTCTGGGGGGCTGGTCATCTGTCTCCGGGGGTCTCGGGGCTGGTCATTTTGTCTCCGGGGCTGGTCATCTGTCTCGGGCTGGTCATCTGTCTCTGGGCTGGGGCTGGTCATCTGTCCTCTGGGGCTGGTCATCTGTCTCCGGGGCTGGTCATCTGTCTCTGGGGCTGGTCATCTGTCTCTGGGGCTGGGGCTGGTCATCTGTCTCTGGGGCTGGTCATCTGTCTCTGGGTCTGGGGCTGGTCATCTGTCTCTGGGGCTGGGGCTGGTCATCTGTCTCTGGGGCTGGGTGTCATCTGTCTCCCTGGGCTGGGGCTGGTCATCTGTCTCCGGGGCTGGGGCTGGTCATCTGTTTTCTGGTCGTCGGGCTGGTCATCTGTCTCTTGGGCTGGTCATCTGTCTCTGGGGCTGGTCATCTGTCTCTGGGGCTGGTGCTTGGTCATCTGTCTCCGGGGCTGGTCATCTGTCTCCGGGGCTGGTCATCTGTTCCTGGGCTGGTCATCTGTCTCTGGGGCTGGGGCTGGTCATCTGTCTCTGGGCTGGTCATCTGTCTCCGGGGGGTCTGGGTCATCTGTCTCTGGGGCTGGTCATCTGTCTCTGGGGCTGGGGCTGGTCATCTGTCTCTGGGGGTGGTCATCTGTCTCTGGGGCTGGGGCTGGTCATCTGTCTCCGGGGCTGGTCATCTGTCTCTGGGGCTGGTCATCTGTCCTCTGGGCTGGGGGTCCCGGGCTGGTCATCTGTCTCCGGGGCTGGTCATCTGTCTCTGGGGCTGGTCATCTGTCTCTGGGGCTGGTCATCTGTCTCCGGGGCTGGTCATCTGTCTCTGGGGCTGGTCATCTGTCTCTGGGGCTGGTCATCTGTCTCTGGGGCTGGGGCTGGTCATCTGTCTCTGGGGCTGGTCATCTGTCTCTGGGACTGGGGCTGGTCATCTGTAACTGGGACTGGGGCTGGTCATCTGTCTCTGGGGCTGGTCATCTGTCTCTGGGGCTGGGGCTGGTCATCTGTCACTGGGGCTGGTCATCTGTCTCTGGGGCTGGGGCTGGTCATCTGTCTCTGGGGCTGGTCATCTGTCTCTGGGACTGGGGCTGGTCATCTGTCTCCGGGGCTGGTCAATTTTCTCTGGGGCTGGGGCTGGTCATCTGTCACTGGGGCTGGTCATCTGTCTCCGGGGCTGGTCATCTGTCTCCGGGGCTGGTCATCTGTCTCTGGGGCTGGGGCTGGTCATCTGTCTCTGGGGCTGGTCATCTGTCTCTGGGGCTGGTCATCTGTCTCTGGGGCTGGTCATCTGTCTCCGGGGCTGGTCATCTGTCTCCGGGGCTGGTCATCTGTCTCCGGGGCTGGTCATCTTCTCTGGGGCTGGGGCTGGTCATCTGTCTCTGGGGGCTGGGGCTGGTCATCTGTCTCCGGGGCTGGTCATCTGTCTCTGGGGCTGGTCATCTGTCTCCGGGCTGGTCATCTGTCTCCGGGGCTGGTCATCTGTCTCTGGGGCTGGTCATCTGTCTCTGGGGCTGGGGCTGGTCATCTGTCTCTGGGGCTGGTCATCTGTCTCTGGGGCTGGGGCTGGTCATCTGTCTCCGGGGCTGGTCATCTGTCTCCGGGGCTGGTCATCTGTCTCTGGGGCTGGTCATCTGTCTCCGGGCTGGGGCTGGTCATCTGTCTCTGGGGCTGGGGCTGGTCATCTGTCTCTGGGGCTGGTCATCTGTCTCTGGGGCTGGTCATCTGTCTCTGAGGGCTGGTCATCTGTCTCTGGGGCTGGTCCATCTGTCTCCGGGGCTGGGGCTGGTCATCTGTCTCTGGGGCTGGGGCTGGTCATCTGTCTCTGGGGCTGGTCATCTGTCTCTGGGGCTGGTCATCTGTCTCTGGGGCTGGGGCTGGTCATCTGTCTCCGGGGCTGGTCATCTGTCTCCGGGGCTGGTCATCTGTCTCCGGGGCTGGTCATCTGTCTCCGGGGCTGGTCATCTGTCTCCGGGGCTGGTCATCTGTCTCCGGGGGCTGGTCATCTGTCTCCGGGGCTGGTCATCTGTCTCCGGGGCTGGTCATCTGTCTCCGGGGCTGGTCATCTGTCTCCGGGGCTGGTCATCTGTCTCTGGGGCTGGTCATCTGTCTCTGGGGCTGGTCATCTGTCTCTGGGGCTGGGGCTGGTCATCTGTCTCTGGGGGCTGGTCATCTGTCTCTGGGGCTGGTCATCTGTCTCTGGGGCTGGGGCTGGTCATCTGTCTCTGGGGCTGGGCTGGTCATCTGTCTCCGGGGCTGGTCATCTGTCTCCGGGGCTGGTCATCTGTCTCTGGGGCTGGTCATCTGTCTCTGGGGCTGGTCATCTGTCTCTGGGCTGGTCATCTGTCTCTGGGCTGGTCATCTGTCTCTGGGGCTGGTCTCTGTCTCTGGGGCTGGTCTCTGTCTCCGGGGCTTTGGGCATCTGTCTCTGGGGCTGGTCATCTGTCTCTGGGACTGGGGCTAGTCATGCTGTCTCTGGGGGCGGTCATCGTCTCTGATCGGGGGGTCTGTATCTGTCTCTGGGGTGGTCATCTGTCTCTGGGGCTGGTCACTGTCTCTGGGGCGTCATCTGTCTCTGGGGCTGGGCTGGGACATCTGCTCGGGGCTGGTCACTGTCTCTGGGGCTGGTCATCTGTCTCCGGGGCTGGTCATCTGTCTCTGGGCTGGTCACTGTCTCTGGGGGGGCTGGGCATCTTCTCTGGGGCTGGTCATCTGTCTCTGGGGCGGTCATCTGTCTCTGGGGCTGGGGCTGGTCATCTGTCTCTTGGGGCTGGGGCTGGTCATCTGTCTCTGGGGCTGGGGCGGTCTCTGGCTCTGGGGCTGGTCATCTGTCTCTGGGGCTGGGGGCTGGTCATCTGTCTCTGGGGCTGGGGCTGGTCATCTGTCTCTGGGGCTGGTCATCTGTCTCCGGGGCTGGTCATCTGTCTCTGGGGCTGGTCATCTGTCTCTGGGGCTGGTCATCTGTCTCTGGGGCTGGTCATCTGTCTCTGGGGCTGGGGCTGGTCATCTGTCTCTGGGGCTGGTCATCTGGTAGGATGACCGTATTGTATTGGACTGAACATCAGGGGGGAGATCCAACTAAACAGTATTGGACTGAACATCAGGGGGGAGATCCAACTAAACAGTATTGGACTGAACATCAGGGGGGAGATCAAACTAAACAGTATTGGACTGAACATCAGGGGGGAGATCCAACTAAACAGTATTGGACTGAACATCAGGGGGGAGATCCAACTAAACAGTATTGGACTGAACATCAGGGGGGAGATCCAACTAAACAGTATTGGACTGAAATCAGGGGGAGATCAAACTAAACAGTATTGGACTGAATATCAGGGGGGAGATCCAACTAAACAGTATTGGACTGAACATCAGGGGGGAGATCCAAACTAAACAGTATTGGACTGAACATCAGGGGGGAGATCCAACTAAACAGTATTGGACTGAACATCAGGGGGGAGATCCAACTAAACAGTATTGGACTGAACATCAGGGGGGAGATCCAACTAAACAGTATTGGACCGAACATCAGGGGGGAGATCCAACTAAACAGTATTGGACTGAACATCAGTGGGGAGATCAAACTAAACAGTATTGGACTGAACATCAGGGGGGAGATCCAACTAAACAGTATTGGACTGAACATCAGGGGGGAGATCAAACTAAACAGTATTGGACTGAACATCAGGGGGGAGATCCAACTAAACAATATTGGACTGAACATCAGGGGGGAGATCCAACTAAACAGTATTGGACTGAACATCAGGGGGGAGATCCAACTAAACAGTATTGGACTGAACATCAGGGGGGAGATCCAACTAAACAATATTGGACTGAACATCAGGGGGGAGATCAAACTAAACAGTATTGGACTGAATATCAGGGGGGAGATCCAACTAAACAGTATTGGACTGAACATCAGGGGGGAGATCCAACTAAACAGTATTGGACTGAACATCAGGGGGGAGATCCAACTGAACATCAGGGGGGAGATCAAACTAAACAGTATTGGACTGAATATCAGGGGGGAGATCCAACTAAACAGTATTGGACTGAACATCAGGGGGGAGATCCAACTAAACAGTATTGGACTGAACATCAGGGGGGAGATCAAACTAAACAGTATTGGACTGAACATCAGGGGGGAGATGGGATATGAAAAAGCAGTGTGTTTTCCTCCATGATTTTACTCATATGCATGTATGGCTTTTTCAAGTTTTATGTGTGCTTGTTTTTTTTTTTTATGGTTGAATTAATAAACTAAACTAAAACTAAACCACTACTACATCCAATACTGCTACATCTAATGCTACTACTGCTACTACTACTACTACTACATATAACACTACTACCGCTCCTACTACCACTGCATCTATCATATTATCTATAATAATACTATAATATCATCTACTACTATTTTTACCTTTAACACAGTGACTGACCGGCGAGAGGTTTCCCATCATGAGGAAGGCGGTGAGGGTTAGGGGTTAAGGGTCAGGGTTAGGGTACGTACCGGAGAGAGGTTACCCATCATGAGGAAGGCAGTGAGGGTGGAGTCAAACAGGAAGGTGATCCTCTTAGTGGGCGGGGCAGCAGGACCAGGGTTACTCAGGCTGCTCACACTGGCGTTGTCTAACACACAGAGAGAGAAGAACTCATAATCCCATGATGCTGCGGATTTTAATGTATCGTTTTGCAAGACAACAACCTTAACACAGCACAGGCTAGAGTTGCCGTCCTCAGGGGTTATTTTGGGCAGCCTGGGCCAGAGCCAGGGCTTGTGACAGCGGAGACGCTCACCTTGGTCCTCCATGCTGGTGGTGTCCGTAGCCGAGGATCCAGCCTCCATCACAGGACTCCCCTGTTCCCACAACAGCAGCATCTGTTTGGGGTCCACGGTGCTCCTGGACACGGGGCGGGAAACCCCACACATACATTACACTGGGGCTGTGTCTGTGTTAGGGGGCTTGTGTCTTATAGTGTGGATGTGATTTATTAACGTGCTTTACATATTACTGTAATCTGGTTTTGTATTCCGAGTAAGAGATTATTCATTTCCCCTTGGGTTTGGAGTTGCACTGCTTCCCTTTCAGTCAGTCAACTTCAGTACAACATACTATGGGGAGTAGCACTCTCGCGACTTCGGTTGAAGGATCTACAATCACGCCTGACAAGGCAAATGAAACTTCCTTGCTGGAAGCCTCGCCTTCCACAGGTGATAACCCAGCTAGCACAAAACGTTCTGAGAACCCTATGTTTCTTAGAGCTTGGTGAGAACCATGTTTCTTCGGTGGGAATTTCAGTATTTCAGCATAACGTTTTAATCAGGTTTCCTCATGGTTCTATTTAAAGTCATGTTCTCAGAACATTAAGAAAACATTCCATAAAATCTACAAGAAAACATTACTAACTTTCAAAGAATGTTCTAAGAATATTATTTAAAAACATATACACTGAGTGGACAAAACATTAAGAACAACTGTTCTTTCCATGACAGACTGACCAGGTGAAAACTATGATCCCTTATTGATGTTACTTGTTAAATCCACTTCAATCAGTGTAGATGAAGGGGAGGAAACAGGTTAAAGAAGGATTTTAAGCCTTGAGACAATTGAGACATGGATTGTGTATGTGTGTCATTCAGAGGGTGAATGGGCAAGACACAAATATTTAAGTGCCTTTGAACGGGGTATGGTAGTAGGTGCCAGGTTCACTGGTTTGAGTGTGTCAAGAACTGAACCGCTGCTGGGTTTTTCACGCTCAACAGTTTCCTGTGTGTATCAAGAATGGTCCAACACCCAAAGGACATCCAGCCAACTTGACACAACTGTGGGAAGCATTGGAGTCAAAATGGGCCAGCATCCCTGTGGAACTCTTTCGACACCTTGTAGAGTCCATGCCCCGACGAATTGAGGCTGTTCTGAGGGCAAAAGGGGGTGAAACTCAATATTAAGAAGGTGTTCTTAATGTTTTGTACACTCAGTGTACATTCCGTTCTCAGCATCAACAAAACTCTCTCTATCCTCTACCTTGTTAAAAGTGTGTTCAGGTGTTTTGGCCACACTTGATCTTAATGAGTGCTTGTTTCCTTTGAAATGGGGTCTGTTTGAATATACTAAAATGAACAGCTTTGTATGAGTTAAAGAACATGTCCTGTCCTAATAATTCCATGGATGGAGAACAGAAGATCCTTAAGTTTGAATCTGACTGACGCTGTGCCACAATAAAAAAGAAATGTGTTTGCCTGATTAACGCCTGAGCAGATTCCTTTCCTTGTGTCCTATCTGTACTTGGAGTTCAAAACAGTTAAACCAAACTAAAGCTAGCAGTGTTATTAAAAGTCTTATTGAAACATGTTCTCACAACGTTATTTAATTACCTTCAAATAATCTATAATATTCTTCTCACAACATTAATAAAACCTTCCAGGAAAACTTTAAAGGAACCATAGTAAAATGTTCTCAGAACCTCCCTGCAACCTAAACATGTACGTTCCCAGAACAGGCACTTCTGTTCTCAGAAAGTTTTAAAAACCGTTTTACCGGTCAGGAAACGTATGGCTTCGTTCCCAGAAACAATGGGAAACCAAAAACTTTTAAGGGATATATCAATCTCCCGAGGGTGGGAGTAATACATTGGGCGATTTGCACTCTGTCCGCAAGGGGTCTCATTACTGGGATTCATAGCTAGTTTCTACCTGTAGCTCACCAGTCCCTATGAGGTTAGTTATACAGGCTAAGGGCCCTGGAGGCGATGGTCAAGGGAACAAGCAGGGTTGGCTCTGTGGTTCATATGAACCCCGAAATGAGCCGTCTTTCTCCAGCTCAACGCTTTCCATTTCTGGGAATTACATTAGATTACGAATCGCTCCTGTCTGTTACCACAGAATGGGTCAATTTTTCAGAGCTGTCTGTCCCATTTCCAGCTAGGGTACAAGGCATTTTGTTGCCAATGACTGGTCGGTTACCGGAACGCATCTTACCACCTAAACCGAGTGAGGCTCATGTGACAACAGTACCCCCCGGTGGCCAATCAGGGCACGTCACAGATCACCAGAGTCCTGGTACCCAGAGTGGGCCGGGCTTTAGGCACATAAACACCGTTTTTCAACCCTAAGTTCAACAGTGTCCCATAATCAGTCTCTTCATAAGAAACCAATAGCTGTCTGACTCCATCTCAGCACATTCTGTTTCTGGGTCTCGAGCTACACTCTCTCGCGTATCGCACTGTTCTATCACCAAGGAGGACGGTGTCTGGGGTCCGGCTCTGCTTTCGTCTGGATCACACAGTGGGTTTTCAAAAGTGCCTTCTGTGATGGAAGTCGTTCCCCTGGTCGTTCCCCTGGTCGTTCCTCTGGTCGTTCCCCTGGTCGTTCCCCTGGTCGTTCCCCTGGTAGTTCCCCTGGTCGTTCCCCTGGGGCTATGATTGATTCAGCCCTTCCAGCGCCGAGTGCTAGCCACTCACCTGTACGCATCTCGCAGCCTAAGCCAGTCGCTTAGGGCAGTGGTTCCCAACCAGGGGTACTAGGACCCCTGGGGGTACTCAGTCTATCCACAGGGGGTACTCGGACCCCTGGGGGTACTCAGTCTATCCACAGGGGGTACTCGGACCCCTGGGGGTACTCAGTCTATCCACAGGGGGTACTCGGACCCCTGGGGGTACTCAGTCTATCCACAGGGGGTACTAGGACCCCTGGGGGTACTCAGTCTATCCACAGGGGGTACTAGGACCCCTGGGGGTACTCAGTCTATCCACAGGGGGTACTCAGTCTATCCACAGGGGGTACTCGGACCCCTGGGGGTACTCAGTCTATCCACAGGGGGTACTCAGTCTATCCACAGGGGGTACTAGGACCCCTGGGGGTACTCAGTCTATCCACAGGGGGTACTCGGACCCCTGGGGGTACTCAGTCTATCCACAGGGGGTACTAGGACCCCTGGGGGTACTCAGTCTATCCACAGGGGGTACTAGGACCCCTGGGGGTACTCAGTCTATCCACAGGGGGTACTCGGACCCCTGGGGGTACTCAGTCTATCCACAGGGGGTACTCGGACCCCTGGGGGTACTCAGTCTATCCACAGGGGGTACTCGAACCCCTGGGGGTACTCAGTCTATCCACAGGGGGTACTTCCGAAGATTCATGAGACCATCGGCCTACTGGTAAAATGCACATGAGGGGGGGTAGAGGGGGAACTTCAGGGGTACTCCGGGCAGAGCAACAATTAGTTGGTGGTACAGTAACTGATAAAGGTTGGGAACCACTGCCCTACACTGTACAGTAACTGATAAAGGTTGGGAACCACTGCCCTACACTGTACAGTAACTGATAAAGGTTGGGAACCACTGGCCTACACTGTAAGCGAGTAACCTGATAAAGGCGTTGGAACACTGGCCTACACTGTAACAGTAACTAATAAGGCTGGGAACCACTTGTCCTAACACTGTACAGATACAGTAACTGAGAAAGGTTGGGAACCACTGGCCTACAAAACGGTAAAGGAGGACAGTAAACTTGATAAAGGGTGGGAAACCACCTGCGGCCGACACGTGTAACAGGACAGTAACTGATAAAAGGTTTGGGAACCACATGGCCTACATGGACAGGAACAGTAACTGATAAAGGTTGGCACCACTGGCCCTACACTGTACAGGACAGTAACTGATAAAGGTTGGGAACCACTGGGCCAACAACTGAACAGTAACTGATAAAGGTTGGGACCACGTGGCCCTACACTGAACAGTAACTGATAAAGGGTTGGGAACCACTGGCCTACACCTGGACAGTAAAGAAACTGAATAAAGGGTTGGGGAACCACTGGCCAACACACTGTACAGTAACTGAATAAAGGTTAGGGAACCACTGGCCTACTATGTACAGTAACTGATAAAGGTTGGGAACCAGACTAACGATAAAGGTGGGAACCATGCCTAACTGAACAGT